TGTGTATCAAAGCGATACATTACAATTCGATCGGACTGTTGCTGAAATCGTCGCACATACTCGTCGTTTATCCGAAAGGCCGGTTTATCCATTTTCTCGAAGACTTCCAGTTCGCGATATTTTATACGCAATTCGCAACTCGGAATGTATTCTCCAAAAAAGACGAGATTTTTCGTGAAACTTCCGTTAGATTACCGTGGTCGGGAGTGAATTATAGGCGACGTGGGACGCGAAGACCATTGCAGTATCAGATGCAGCGACAGATGGCTGGTGGGCTCTGGACACCGTGGGACGACGCGCAATGGTGAGCGCTCAATTTAGACGCTCATATAGTAGATACAAAGCGTCACTTTACGTAGATTGCATGCATGTAAACGTAAATCGCATTGGGTCCGACGGGAAGTAAAGTAAGAATTGGAATTTGCAATTCGCCGAAGTTACGTAAGAATGATCCAACCAAAGAATTTAGCTCTAAGATTTTCATAGTAGTTCAACGAGTCAAGCATTTCCATTTCTTTAAGAGTACTGACTAGCTCAATCCTTAGAAAAATGTGCAAAAAGACGCGACTGGTAAAAAATAAAAAAACTGTTTCTTAATTCATTTCAAGTATCTATAAGACTTGAAGTTTTTTGTTTAGATTAAAAAGAAATTGTGAATGGAGTATCCATTGATAAAAGCTTATAATTTTTTTGAATTGGATCATTCTTGCATAACAATGGCCAATTGAAATTTCGACTCGCCAGGCTTCCTTCTCATCGGATTATTTCTTGATGATACATTAAATTGATATATTTCAACATGTCATATTTATATGCTCTGTACATGTTATATATGCTTTTTTATGCTCTATATATTAAGCCGAGATTCAAACCGATGTATTTTGAGAATCCGCTAAATTATTAAGTCGAGATTCGAACCGATGAGTTTTGTATTTCCGCAAAATTATTGAGCCGAGTTAGTTAAGCCTGGAATAGTTTTTTAAAGAAATTTCTCAAAGAAATTTTCGCGTTTGCAAAGATGTATTTTCGAAAATGACGTCACGTGTGCGTATTTCGCTCTGTATCGTCTCTTGGATGATAATGTTTGTTAATGTCACTCTACTCCCTCAGTAACACGCCTAGAATTTTGAATATAATTTTACAATAGACCGAAGTCGCGTTTATTACGTTGGATCCAACGTAGCATTATAAGAACATCGGACATTGGCCGAAAGTCGGTTATGTTACCGCAGGTTATTTAGGTTATATAGTGTTAGTGTTTAGAGCACATTCTGGGATAATCTTACAGTTTTTTTAAGTAATTTTCGCGTTTGCAAAGATGTATTTTCGAAAATGACGTGAAGTTTGACTATTTCGCTCTGCATCGTCTCTCGAATCACGTGGGATGCTCCGCTTCATTTTCGCATGTATTTTCACCGTGCAAAAGAGTTTTTAATTCGACGATAGGTAGGAAGAAGTAATCTTTGCAGAAAGATTCGATGTCGTGATAGTAATTGTTTCTTATATTTCGTCTCATATTGTGGGATGCTCCGCTTCATTTTCGCACGTACTTTCACCGTGCAAAAAGGTTTTTAATTCGATGCAGGTAGTAATAAGTAAACTTTGCAGAAAGATTCGATGTCATGATAATAACTGTTTCTTATCGTTTTCGTCTCATATTGTGAGATGCTCCGCTTTATTTTCGCACGTACTTTCACCGTGTAAAAGGGTTTTTAATTCGACGCAGGTAGAAATAAGTAAACTTTGTAGAAAGATTCGATGTCGTGATAGTAACTGTTTTTTATCGTTTTCGTCTCATATTGACGACGCTCCGCTTCATTTTCGTACGTTCACCATGCAAAAAGATTTTTAATTTTGTTGAATCAGCACGAGACAATAGTTTTGCAAAGGTATTCGGTATCACATCAACGACATTTTCCGACAAGTTTTATACTTTGTGTTGACTTGACCAAATTAAAAATGCTTTTGTATAGTAAAAGTTTATGCATAAATGAAATAGGGCTTTCCTACCTCAAGGATGAAAACGATGTGGAACTCTTGTTATCGTGACACTGATTTCATTTTTCAAAAACTACATCGTACTAACTGCTTCAATTTATATGATAAAATTATATACAAAAATAAAGTGTAACATTGGTCGAAATGAAAATGATATCTCAAATTACCGTTGCTAATTATATTGAAACTCAAATAATAGGTAACGTATTTTTCAAAAAATTATTCGCAAATTACGCTTGCGCCTACAACACTCTTCTCTAAAAACTCTTTCTTTGATGCATTTTGGTACACAAGCGGTTTGAAAAATTCATCAGAAAAGTAGAAAGGACCTATTTTGGAGAGAATGCAAATATCGGTAACGTGGCATTCACATTTACGTAACGTCTATGTGTAAGAAAATTAAAATGACAACGTAACACACACACTTGCATAACATCTGTGAAAAAGATGATAGCGGTATCATGTTAGCGCCTATTTGACGATCGTCTTTATTCCATAAGTATCTATGTATACATAAATTTGATCGTCGGTAAATGATGATAATCGGTTTTCTTTTTGATGATCGCTCTACGTTATCGACGCTTATCAAATTCGTCGCTCGCTCTGGCATTCTCTTAACACAATCACGCTATCCTTTTCATATTTCTTGTATATATAAACTTAATCACGCCTGTATAGAAATCTTTCTGCAAACTTTTCCGATATTCTTAAGCTTCTGAATTCAGACGCGAAGGTATAGTAATGTTTTTCAAAACTTTTGTGTTTGGAACATCTACACTTTTGGTATGTACAAGCTGTGGAACTTTTGAATTAGGTAAATATTACGCTAACTGATAGCGCGCTTAAGATTTTACATTACAATTTTTTTTCGTTTTCATCACATATTGAGCAACGCTCCAATTAATTTTACGCACTTTCATTGCGTAAAAGCATTTGTAATTCTGTATAACCAATACGACGTAAATTTTACAGAGAAATATCAGTATTCTGTTGTAAAATATTTTCTACTTCACAGCATCTCCTTAATAACGGTCCTCAGATAATCAGGCAAAGCGTCCGAAGACCTCGCTATCGCCTCATTTTTGTTTCTTGCTTGTTCTATTATTACTTTTACTTCGTCTTCCAGTGAAAACTCACGCACCTCAATAAGATCTACGAATGATTCACGATTACGCGTCTGGAAAAGTCGCCACATGCACACATAACTGACCGATACGCCGAATCGCTTCTTAACGCGTTCGCGCCACTTTCATTTTCTTGTTCCATTTACGTCGCGCGTAAACCGTCTTCGGAAATGCTCGGAAAATATTTGCGCGAATTAATATCGCACCGTGGCAGAAGCCAAGCGCGACAGACAGCCGCAACGTAGCGATTAAGGAGAATGATCTCCTCTTATGGCAGCGAGATATTATTACCAGAAACGTTCAGTAATTTCTCATCTAATTTGTTCTCGTACGAAAGCGATACTTTTCCTTACGATACATTTCGCGTTTCCTCGTGAAATAAGATAGAGAATAATCATTCTGTGATTATCCTCGCATTGATAATTTGCGACTTTCGAATTCTTTCGGAATTTAATTGGCGAATTTATCTGCACTGAGAAAAAGATACTTGAAAATTTCTTTGTGGGATATAAAGTTTATTTCTATGAGATAAGGTTTATTTCTGCGAATATAAATACAGAGTACTCAGCTCGATTTTACGAGAGATTGTGAAATCGAACTGAGACACCTTGTATATAGACCTTCTGTGCTCCCACAAATAAATTTTAATAAATATTTTTTTCTCAATGTATTTTTTAATTTCTTTGGAAATGATTATTTTTCAAAGTTCCTCTTCGTTTCCTATTTTCCACTTTTACTTCCTTAAAATTTGCCTTCTGTCTTGCCTCCTCCTGCGACAAGTATCTGCATCATTGTCATTTAAAAGTCTCAAACAGTTTATTTTCGTGTTCAATAATAGTATCGCGCTTCCAACGCGTTCATTTTACGCGACGAAACGCGCGCGTTTCAAAGCGTCGCTCGTTTTGCTTGTTCCTTTGCAATTGCCAAAGCAAAGGCCAAGCATTATGCGATGTATACGAGACACAATTGTTAGATGTCATAGCTTTCGAGGAAATTTTTACGTCGTCGAGTCACTGCTCCAGAAGTTACGGTTTAGTGTCCAAAGTCCAAAAATCAAAGACTCGGACGCGCGACGTCCTTGTTGCGCCATCGAGGGCTTCGACAGAGCCGTTAATGAGGATAACTCCTTTTCGCACGTCGCTCGCGGCTCCTCCCCGTCGCGTATTCCACGTAGAAATTCGCGTTATTCAATACACGAGCGACCGATGATTTAACGTCGGCTGGAGAAGGAGCCGGCGCGCGAGACGGCACGCGCTTGTGTCCATTTCCATTTCTCCCCGTTCGGCCGATACTTTCACTTAAAGTCAAGCTTAAAGCGTGACTTACGATTCGGCGCATTGGTCACGAGAGCCAGCAGCGCGCGCGATTTGATCTCTCGACGCTTAGATTTTCGAGCGAAAGTGCGCGCGGGGATTCTCGCGATCATCTCGGATTCACTCTTTCCTTCCTCGTTTCCTTTTTATCGCAGCCGTGGAGGAGGGGGAGGGAGGGACGACAACGGGGGATTTCGCGGTTCATCGAGCAGAATTGCGATCGCGATGGAGAGGAACAGCAAAGAGCGAAGGCGATACGTAATTCACGACGATTCGTGGACGAGCGCGACTCGACTTCGCCGTTGTGGCGCGCTTTCCCACACGGGAAATTTCATTCGACCGGAAACTCGAGTGGACGGCTCGTTTGGGACACGGTCTGTCACGTTATTTAATTACGGTGATCAGGAGCGCGCGCGCGCGTGATGGATCATGGAGGCTCGCGTATGAAAGTCAGCTGTCCTAGTTATTAACATTGCACTTGCTCGAGCTGCATTATGAGTCACGGTGCGTTCGGCCCGTTCGCGGAGCTCGAAAGTCTTCAAAGTGAAAAAATAGCGTTACGTACCTTTGTCTTAATAATGGATCTACGCCCACGGTTGGCTCGTCCAGAATCAGGAGTTCTGGGTCGTGCATGAGGGCCACTGCGAAAGACACTCGTCTCTGTTGACCGCCACTGACAGAGAGGAAAATGATCGATATTATTATTCACAATTGTATTTACCACATTACGCGGCGCGACGACGATCTCATCTTATTGGCGATATTCTCATGAAATCTCGGAGGATCTGTTGAGAGTCTTATATTTCTTCGATATTTCTTCTAATTTGAATTTACTTTGGGGGGAGGGGAGGATAGATAGAAATCGCTTTTTGAGAAATCCAACAAAAGATTAGTTACAAGTAAAATGACGATTTGATACATAAAAAACGTCACATGCACTCTAAACAAATCGGGAGTCTTGTTCTGTGGAATGCGATCATCAGATGCAAAATGAAATTGTAATTCCCGAGATACAGTCTCTGAAAGATACAGTCAGATTCTACACGGAGAGAGAAGTATGGCTGTATTAACGTAATTTGGTTTTGATAAACGAACCAACGTATTTTAATCTCGAAAAAAAATTTAAATATTTATATTTAAAGACCAAAACAATAAGAATGTTCAGAGTTAGATACCAGTCCCGTGTAGAAATTTTCCAAGAGTTTCCCAGATGCAGCATAGATTCTGGTCAAAATGCCAAAATTTGTTCCAAAATTGATTATCCCACCACGATATCAATTGGAAAATTCATTTTTGTTCCAAACATGGATTTTCTGTCTAAGAATCGAAATAAAAGTATTACGGGAACCTACACTTTTCAGTAATGTCGATATATGGTATTAAATAAGGGAAATCCCATTCTTATACCAACATTCTTATACTATTCTTATACGAATATCTGTAAAATACTTTGAATATTTTATTGACTAATACGATTACTTGGAAAGTCAACTTGTTTTCTTCAATTCTAACATAGAAAAATTATGAAAATTATTGGGAAAACTTTGCATTTCCCCATTTAGAATCGCGTTTGAAGTTTGAAATATTATACTTTTAACTAGAATCCATAATTATTTTGGGAAATCGGATTAGATCCCAAGAAATTTTCTATGCGGGAGTTCATGAGTGTTCAAGCATTAGTATTTACTACAGCCAAATTTTGTTCTCCGTGCAAATTGCAAAATATGCGTGAAATTTGAGATCTGTCCTTGTTCTTGCGCGCGCGCTTACGAGTTCAGCAGAAATCGATCGCAGAAGATCGCGACCGCAAACGCATTCATACCTGAGATTCTTCACCAAGCGATTCTGCGAAGGCAGGTCGAGAAATTGTAGCAAGAAGCGCAGCCTCTCTACAATCTCGGCCGTGCACATTCCGAATATCCAGCCGAAGTACATCATGGTCTCGCGAATGGTGAACTCGCCGTAAAGAGCAATCTCCTGCGGCATGTAGCCGACCCTTTTGCCCGGCACGCCGGAGCCCTTCGTCCCGGGTTTGCCACCCAACACCCAGATCTCGCCTGAATTTAATCTCCTTCGGCCGACGATGCAGGACAATAGCGTGGTCTTGCCGCATCCGCTGGCGCCCAACAACCCGTATCTAGCGTGAACAATTCAAACAATAATTTTTACTCGTTGTCAGTGTCGATTATTAATTGAGTCGCGAGAAAAAGAAGCGTGGCGATCGGTAAGACGACGAGAATAATTTCAAAACTGTAGTTAGATATCCTATATTTTAGAATTTCGAAGTTACAACTTCTCAGGCAACTAACTGATATGACTGACTATAGAAATATAATAGAGGCAAACTACTTCTATGGATTAATACTCGCCACGATCTTATTACACGATCGTATATTTTGTTTTTTAACCAAAATACGAACGTATAGCAACAGAAACATCTTGACCTGGCACCGTGTTCAGTTGTCCCTAGTAGCGTAGTTATTTCTTAACTGTGATATTATTCTGATTTTAATGAAACTCGGGGAAAAATATTTATGTGAAAGGACCATTTCGCGATTTTTTACCATTATTCCTCCCAAGATAAATATTAAAAAAGCATATGGATACAAAAAAAGAGTAACATATCTCTAGGGCCACATAGTCCCGATCTTCCTTACTTCGAAAATACACGGAGGAAGATAATATTGTAGTAAAAATTACTATGAAATTTTTGTAATCTTGTCATAATACAATATTATGATACGAAATTACTATATGTTTGTTTAAAAATGTTATGTACGTTTGAAAATTATTATAATTATTTGAATGTTTCGTTATATCGTACATCAGGTAGATTACCGAATTTTTACTATTTCTATAGTGATTTATACTACTATTTTAGGGTAGTGTAGCTTAACAAGAAATATTGCAAAAAGGAATTTTAACGTAATTTTGACTATAACATTTTTCGTTTGTGCACTCTTAAAGTAAGGTAAGGTAAAGTAAAAGATACAGTATCTTATCAAGCGGTGAATTCGCGTGAATTTTGTGGAATGCTTCGTCGAAAACATTTCCCTGAACGTATTGAAACATTTATTTGTGCCGATGGAATATGTTTACGGCATGTATGCGACACACACTTAGCATGCGTGTCATATTTTCAAAACGAATTGACGAATCATCGTCAATGTCGATTAGCATTCCTTAAATTAGGAGAGAGAGATGAGGTGATCGCTAAAACGACGGGGATTTCACAAGTATTTAGAAAATACTCGAGGTGAATAAGCGGAAAAGAGAAGATCTCCGAGCGGCGAGTTCGCGCTAATTTTGCGAAATGTCCCGTTGAAAATATTCCCTTGAGCTTATCGAGAAATTCATTCGTACCGATGAAATGTATTTGTAAATACATACCGTGCACTTTTAGCACGCGTGTCACATTTTTGAATATGAATGGGCGGATCAACAGAGTCATTTGCATGTGCAATTATCGCAGGAACACGAACAAAAGTGCAGTCGGTAGTCTCGAGAGGTCCGTTTTCCTTGAAGCTCGGGCAAATACATAAATTCACAAATCGCGCATAAACACGATTTCAGAGATTTTGCTGGAAATATGATTTAGATGAATAGAACAAAGACTTGGCTGGATTAATCAAATGTTTGGTGAAATATAAACGAACCAAAATTCCAGTTGAAATTATCAGAATTCAGGTCAAGTTAACGAGATTCTGATTAACCAAACAAGATGTTGTAGTTAACCAAAAATCTTGTTTTGTATTAATCAAAATCTTTAAACTTTAAACAGAATTCTGGCAACTTTAACCGGAATTCCGGTTCATCTATTTGTACCGATGGAATATGTTTACGGCATGTATGCGGCACACATTTAGCATGTGTGTCATATTTTCAAAACGAATTGATCATCGTCAATGTCGATCAGCATTCCTTAAATTAGGAAAGTGAGATGAGGTGATCGGTAAGACGACGGGGAATATTTTACAAGTGTTTAGAAAATCGAGGTGAATAAGCGGAAAAGAAAAGATCTCCGAGCGACGAGTTCGCACTAATTTTCCCACACATTCGATTAATTCAATCTAATTCTTATTTCCGTTTGGACTGAACTTTCCGTTAAGACAGTTTGCATGACTAATAAACTCTCAAAAAAGAGAAGTAAAGCATTATAAGTTGTCACTTGAAATTTCATGTAAAATATCCAGATTTTTATTTAAAGTTAGATCCAAATTTTTCAGTTGAATCATAATATAATATATGTATAATCGCGATTCAACTAAGAAACTTTCATCTAACTCTGAACTGAAATCTGAGTATCTTATTCGAGAGAGATTTCAAGTAACTATTAATACGGGCCAATCTCGGTCGCGAAATACATGTATCGTGCAACACGAGACTAGCATCATCCCGAAGGCGCGCGCGGCTTGTCATGAGAATGCATCGAGGTAATCACAATAAAGGAACAATCAAATTTAAATTACGCCGGTCGAGTCGTCTAAAGGCGATGCGAACTTACGCGTGACGTAACCGTTTGCTACGAAGTGGAAATCGGGAACACGACCTGGGACGTTGCCTTCGGACTTCTACTGAATCACGCTAATTTGTCATCGAATTTATTCTCTTTCGTGAGTAGAATATACACACGTCACCGCTATTTCCTTCGCATTTTTCCTTCGTGTTTCTCACGTTTTTTGCCGTCATCGGCCTTTTCTGAGCGCACAGTCTAATTTCCTTCGTTAATAATCTTATGAAAATTGCCTTTTATTCGTAATTTCGTTATATATAGGATAGGTCAGTAACTATTGCTACTTCGAAACAAAAAACAAAGATGATCTTAAGATCTTTGAAATTACTTCTCCCAGGAAATAAAAAGCGTAACCACCATAAGAAACTTTTTTCTAAGTGAAATAGCTTCAAAAATTTAAAGATCATCTTTTTTTTTGCTTCGAAGATATACAAAATGACAATAGTTATCGACTCACTCGATATGAACATACTTTCTAATACAAGCGAGAAATAAAAAATATTAAACTAATTTTCGCGGTTGTATTTAACAGAACTTTTAAAAATCTATCGATATAGACATCGATAAAATTTCGTGACACTACACTGAGAGGAAGAATATCTAAAGAATGAAAAATATTCGTTGGGTATTGATAACATATTTACTTATGCACTGAGAAAATAATACTTGAAAATTTATTTATGGGATATAGAGTTTATTTACAGAAATAAACTTTATTTTACAGAAATAAGTTTTATGTTCCATAAATAAATTTTCAAGTATTTCGTTCTCAGTATCTATTATGGTGCAAAATATTTTTCAAGTAAGAAAATGTATATTTTCTTAAAACCTTAGCTTTTCATGAAAGCAATTATTTATTCTATTCAAATAAAAGAAAATTTAGATTTGAGTAAATATATATATATATTATTATTATTCATTAAAATAAACATATTTTATTTTTAAGATATTTTTTCGGTATATAAGCCCCACAAATTATTAGGTTGATCTATAAATTCGTACATATTTTATATAAACGAAATTGAAGTTTATTTTACTGTTATTAAAAACAATTTAAATCTATAATATACGCGCTGTTTTGTCCGACAATCTTTCATGCAACTTCATAATTCTTTTCTTATAAAACTTTTGTGGTTTTTCGGTAAAGAAACGTTCCAAGTGATTCTAAAGAAGCTAAATTTATATTATCAAAATATTTTTGTAATAAGCGAAACAAATAATGATCAAAGGGATCAAAGAGATGATCAAAGAGCAATATAGGATGAATATAGTAGGCGAAAGAAACATCCCAGACAAACTCTACACTAAAAAAAAAAAATTTACTAAATTTCAAAAAACGTTTGTTTGGATAGTACTGTGAAGATATTTGTTTAAATTAAGTAATTATTTTCTAAAATTAAATAAAGAAGTTTTAAATATAAATTTGTTTCTTTAATTTTAGAAAATAATTACTTAATTTAAATAAATATCTTCACAGTATTGTCCAAACTAATGTTTTTTGAAATTTAGTAAATTTTTTCTCAGTGTAACAATTTTTATGGAAGTAAGAAAGTATAATGCATCGTCAAAACTCACCCTTCCATTTTCAAGCTATAACAAAGACAGCTGTGCTCCTTTAAATACTTTCACTTACATCACAAATATGTTCTGAAATATCAGCTATCAAAGCGCATACATAGATGGCCAACTGTGTATGGAACTATTCCTCTAATACCAATATACAGGTGCCAACTAGATAAAAATTGGTACGAATTTATGGATCAACTCAATACATAAGATTATATTAGATTATATAACAGAGCGAGTCGGTCAATTATAATGCATAAGTGCTACGATTTATTGAGCTACTCAAAAAAATTCGATTTCATTTTTGCCTTCTTTGATGATTATTTGCCTTCTTTTCGGCCATTCTCTTCTCAACAACGATTAAGTTATATGTATGCTGGCAAAACTTTGGCGAATGAACGCGGACAACGATCATTTGGTTGATGAATAATTCGTTCTCGCTGTATGCTCGCGATGAAGTAAGATTGAAATAAAACACCGGACTGAACTCTTTGACTAATCCAATATTACGAAAGCTATCTGTCGGAATCTTTGAGATTTGGTTCGCGTGGGTTGGGACAAGTTCATTCAACGTTATGTCTCGACGAACATAGAGACTCGCGCGATCGATAGTCAACGCAAGTATATAATTGGGCATAATTGAGTATTAATCGCTAATTATGGTACATAAGAAGCTGTGACAACTTTAATTAGTCTTACATAAACGTCTGTTAGTTGAAAAACGCGGCGACATTTTTGCAAATAAAGATCCTTCTTGTGGTGTCGGCTCTGTGCCGGGAGTGTAAAAAATAATTGCGATTATTATAAGCGGCCGTGAACGATCAAACATTAAAAAAGCAAAACACTTTGGTTCGCATCCGCGATATTTTCCGCAAACTTGTTTCTCGCATCGTTGATAAAGATTATTTTTATTTACAAGTCATGTTCATATCGACATTAACTGTTATACGAGAGACAGACTCAAAACATTCGATGCGAGTCAGCTTGAGTTACACAAAATCTGAACTCTCGTCTAACATCTTATTTTTTCTTCTCTTTTTTTTCTGAAAAGTTCCCGGAAATCTATTTGAGAAAAAGTCGCGATTTAATACTAATTCATTAAAATCGAGAATTATGTCACACGTGTCGAGGTTTTGTCAAGCACCGAAGTAAAAACGAAATTTGAATCTGTGTTGGAGTACAGAGCCTCAAGGAAATATATGATAAGAACGTGTCCCGTCGAAACGTCCTCGTTCGTAAACGAAAGGCGCTAATGAGCTAATTGCTTCTAATCAGTCCAGTTCAGCCATCGGCTGGTTGCGCGATTAACGTTCCGCGTTTCGCCGTGTAATTTTGCACGCTCGTAAGCATTACCGTTGTGTGATTTGTTCCGACATATGTTACATATGCCCCGCATACCGACGTAACTCTCGTCTTTCTGCGCTGAGAGAAAAAATATCTAAGAAATAGAAAACATTTATTCGGTGCACCATAAGAAAAAATACATTTGAAAATATATTTGTGGCATATTAAGTTTATTTTTGCGAAATAAAGTTTATTCGTGTGAAATAATCTCACAGATATTATTTCGAGAAAAAAATTCACAGAGATTATTTCGAGGACAAATTTCACAGGAATTATTTCAAAATGATTTTACAGAAATTATTTCAAAAAGAAATTTTATATAAATTATTTCGAGAAAAAATTTTACAGAAATTATTTCGTTAAGAAATTTCACAGAAATTATTTCGAGAAATAATTTCTCAGAAATTATTTCAAGCAATGATTCCATAGAAATAAACTTTATTTCATAAAAATAACTTTCATATCCCCTAAATAAATTTTCAAATATTTTTTCTCAGTGTGGGTACTAATAATATATTTACACTTATGTTTACTTACTAATATAAAATATTTCTTTAAATAAGAAAACATATATTTTTTCAAAATCTTAGTTTTTCATGAAAGCAATTGTTCGTTTCACTTAAAAAAAAGAATTTAGATTTAAGTAATATATTATTAGCATCCATCGGAGAAATATTTTTTATTTATTAGATATTTTTCTTTCAGTGTGTCAAATCGAGACGAAACGAGAGAAAGAGAGGGAAAGAGAGGGGGGAGGGGAACAGAAAGAGAGAGTTAAAGAGGTGCGATCGTGCACACTTCGATGCACTTCGCGTAATCTGCAACGTGCGATTACTTTTGACTTTAGGTTAACGCGGATAACGCTACAATGTAATCGCACGTCTCGATCGTACGATGATTACGAAATAAGCTCTAACAATTATAACTGAAATTACAGCTCGGTCGAGTGTGCTTTAATTTCCTGGTAGCTGCAGGACACATTGTTGTTATGAAATAACTGTTATAACACGATGACCCGTCCCCCTTCGGAATCCCTTATCGCAAATCGCGATCTCGCGGCACTGCCGGCACGAATCGCGTCATATTAATTAATGCATGCGGCCGGAGTTTGCGGGAGTTAATCATCGTTCCGCTAAATGACTCATTAAGGTAGATAATAAGATTGCCGCGTATCGCTTTCTCGAGACATTATTCGCGCAGCGGAATCGCATAACTATACAATTTTCTTTATTTCGAGTTGGATTACGAGAGAAGAAGTATCGGTACCAGGAAGTTAGGCAATCCTAATGGCAAGGCGATATACGTAAATTCGTAGCGTGCGGTATAATAAAATGTATACGTAATATAGAGAGAGATAGAGAGAAAGAAAAAAGGAATATCATTATATTCGTTACGAAGAAGAATATTTTAGCGAGAATATCTTAATATTGTTTTTTTAATCGTCCGAAGAGAACATACAGCCGTGAACGGTCTCTATTATTATGATATTCAGAAAGGCACGTGCGACTTATGTCATCGAGTTGTGTAATTATGATCATTCTTCACCTATATCTTTTTATGCGTATTCATCATTTATACCTTATGTTTTGTTGTTACCATACACATCATTATTCGTTCATTCCGATACGTTTAAGCGTTTTCAACGAGTAAATCGCGAAAATCTGCAAAGCGAATCGCAAAGAAGTTTTATTAGGTCAAGTAGAACCGCGATGAAAAGTACACGAACGTAGATATTACACTGAAAAATATCTAAGAATTATGAAGTATTTATTCGGTGGACATTAATAACGTATTTATTTGTACTAATATAAAATATTTTTCAAGAAAAGAAATATGTGTTTTCTTAAAACCTCAGCGTTTTAAACAATTGTTTGTTTTATTTAAATAAAAGAATAGATCTGAGAATAAATATGTTATTAAATGGACCGAATAAATATTTTTTTACTTCTTAGACATTTATTTTCTCAGTATATAAAACGTGTCGAAAATAGCTTGAATTAATCCGAATAATATGGCTATACATTATTGAGAATATTTTTTAGCTGAGACTATTCGACGTTGCCTGGATTATCATAAAATGCCAAAGAGATAAAATCGGAGGGATTTTTACAAAAATTTTGCATATTCTTCTTTTACAAAAACTTTGCATATTGCAGTTAATGATACATCAATTTGAAGCTTATGTCGAGTAGATTAAGGATATAAAGTCTCTCTGTTTATTACATAAACAGTACAAAAAGTTGCAATCGCAATAGTACGGCTGTTTGTTGCTATTCCAATCTTTTGGATCGTTTATCTCTCAAGCGACTACGAGAATAATATATTAAAATTTTATATTCTTTATATATATATCTACTCGTAACTTCAAATCCTTCATTATCTAAGCTTCAAATCGATGTGTCATTTATTGGAATATTCAAGGTTTTATAAAATCCTACGGAAAAGAGGCAAAACTTAGCCGCACTTTTTGGTCCAAATCAGATAAAGAGTTTAGAAGTGCATTAGGAAATAGACAGATATTGACAGACATACTACTTTGCATACATAGATTAATAAATTGTAAGATCACGATCGCCACGGGAATGTCATACGGATGTTTAGATCGCTTAGTCTCAATTAGATAAATATAATTAACACACTCACATCGAGCCCTTGGCAACCGTCATGCTGAGATTCTGTATGACGTGGTTCGGATTTTTGGTGCTGCCGTAGATCTTGAAGGCGTGCCTGACGCTGACCGCCTGCTGACGATTCCACGAGGGGTTGTTCAGCCCTGGCGTCGCCAGGACGGTGCTCGACGTCACCATCGTCAGGTCCACGTTGCTGTCCGCGTTGCTTTGCATCGTGTTCGCGTTCGTGAGACCTTCGGCGTCCGCAGCTCCGTCGCTGCAATAGAAGCGAACATGACGGTAACGATAAATTACGCGAAGGATGTCACAAATCGCATGCAATATCTTGTGCAATTTCGTACGTACGCGTGTGCAGCGCTCGGCCGGGATTTCTTCGCGGAGTCGCTTGTGCGAAACACTAGCAATGTGACGTGTAAAAGTACAACGAGAGATGGGAGTGCGGACGAGTGTGCCACGTGCTGATTGCAGCGCGTTCGTAAGGGTGGATCGGGTTTTGACAGAAGAAGCGCGCGCGAGAACTGAGGACACGCTCCATTTTTGATAGCTGACAAGGGGTGTTTACGATAATTCGAGTTAGTACGAATTAGTTTTACTAGGACCGAAAGATATGATAGACACAATCATCTAGTACCTTCATTATTCATGACAACTCAACGCTGTCCGATAAATCGAGTAGAGCAGAGTAGAGTTAGGGTAGCGTAGCGAATAGTATATGTATAAGAATTAACAATATCAAGTAATATAGTTTTGTAAAATATGTAACAATAATATTACAAAACAATGAGTTATTACATTATAGAAAAATTAGAAGCTAATAGAAGCATTATAGAAAAATTTTCTAACGTATGTTAGAAAATTGGCAACACAATCTAAACAGAATATCTTGGTTAATAATAGGTTAGAATAATTGGTTTCTACTTTTGGATATTTCACAAATACATGATACTTTTTCATAATTTAATTTAGTGTTTCTAATTTTTTTATAATGTGACAACTTATTGTTTTATAATATTATATATTTTACTCATAATAACTCATTGTTTTGTAATATTACATATTTTACAAAACTATATTACCTGATATTGTTAATTTTTATACATATACTATTCGCTACGTTTTCTTAACTCTACTCTACTCTACTCTACTCGATTTCTTATCGGATAGCATTGAGTTATTCACTATCATGAATAATAAAGATATGTCTATGTTTATATATAAATGCTTATATCTATCATATCTTTTTCGATCTTAATCAAACTAACTCGTACTAAGTCGAACTCAAATTATCGTAAACCCAAGAATGAAACTTTATCTCTTAAAAGCTCTTTCGTTCGCTTTTGTTAAGAGGATGAAGTCGATGATGTCGAACTTGAACAATGTCGATCACGCAGAGCTATCTTTTTATATTTCTTGTACATATCTTACGTAAATATATGTTGCTTTGTTTCATCATATTCAGCGGAAAATCTAATCATGCATATGTAGAAATTTTCTTGCAAACTATTTCGATATTTTTTAAGCTTTTGAATTTAGAGGCGAAAATACAGCAATGTTTTTAAACATTTTTCTGTTTGGAGTATCCACACTTTCAGTACGTACAAGCTGCGGAACTTTTATATTAGGAAAATATTGCGTTAATTGACAGCTTGAGATTTTACATTAATTTTTTTTTGTTTTCGTTACATATTGAGTAATATTCCTATTTATTTTTGCACATATTTTCATTGCGTAAAAGCATTTATAATTCTGTATTACTACCACGATATAAACTTTACAGAAAAATGTTAGTATTCTGTCGGTACAGTTTTCAGCTTTAGCCTCCAAAACTCGAAATACACCTTTCATATCGATATACTAAGAAAAAATACTTGGAAATTTATTTATAAGATAGGGGAGGCCAGAGCTATTTGACTGCGAGGTAAGTTGGCAAAGTCGATTATTTTTATTGTTCTTTAACAGATTTCAGAATCAAGCAAACAGAGATTTCAAAGCCATCTTTGACATATTAAAAGATCTTGCTTACTTAATTTTATAGATTGTTACAAAATAATAGAAATAACTGGTTTTGCAAACTTATCTCTGTAGTCAACTAACCTCGGTCTCTCCTACAAAGTTTATTTCTATAAGTAAAATTTAATCCCATGAATAAATTTTCAAGTATGTTTTCGCAGCGCGTCAAGACAACGCATTGATACGTAGGTTCGACGCAGCAACCTTAAAATCGCGCGCGTCCATTCGCGAAATAATTGCGTGTGTTTACACACACATACATGCTTATTGCGAAGAACGATTCTGTAAATCTCGGCCCGGATTGCGCGGTATGGAAAGAGTCGAAGCGACGCGGCGTGTTACGCAACAGGCGTGCCGGCCGCGGCTTTCTTTTCGCTGACGCGCGCGGCAATTCATTGGGCAACGCGTCGACGCGCGCTCCCATGTGTGTCACTCGTGTGTGTAAATCGCGCGTGCAGGTGTACGTACGTACGTACTCGTTCACCTGTGCCTACCTATTTGATCGGCCACGTGGCTGTGTGCGCGCGTGGATGCACGTACGCGTGCGCTCATGCACACGTGGATGCGGAATACATAACGCGTGCGCAGCGGGTGCAGGCTTGGCAGCGGTGGCTTGCACGCGCAAAAGCCGAGCGAGCGTGAATTCTTGCGCTAGTTCGCGCGATTTCGGCGATTTACCTCGCGATTTCCCTTTCTCAAGGCGAACTTTCGCGCACGCGCGTGCGCGCGAGCTCGCGTCGTGGACATTCTCCGCGGCTGTTACAAGCCAACCCTTCATTCGGCAGACTTAAAGAAATTTCGGGGAAGACATACTTGAATGTGTGTGTATGTGTGTTTGAATGAAGTGAGCGATATCTTCTGAGTGCAGTGTGATATGTTTTTGAAATGTTTTTTTCGTCATTTATAATCGATACACTGTATTGCTTATACGGCGAAAATCGAAACTATTGAGACACCGACAAGCCAAACAGGTAGCCTGATGTTGTTCCAGAGCAACAACGCTGAATAAATGCGTCCTACATCTATCGTTCTTGCATTATGGTTCATGAAAAATCGATGTTGCTCGGGAACAACATCAGGCTACCTGTTTGGCTTGTCGGTGTCTCAATAGTTTCGATTTTCGCCGTATAAGCAATACAGTGTATCGATTATAAATGACGAAAAAAACATTTCAAAAACATATCACACTGCACTCAGAAGATATCGCTCACTTCATTCAAACACACACACACACACACACATTCAAGTATGTCTTCCCCGAAATTTCTTTAAGTCTGAATAAAGGGTTGACTTATGAAATAAAGGATTCAAGGATTAAATCGTTAAAGGAATGCAAATTTTCCTCGGAGAATACAAGAACTAGCTCCTCGTAACTATGATTTTCTATTTTCTCGTTATCACGAAAAATTAATTTCTTTGTATTAAAACATCGATAGGTCTCTTTCCCTTTCCCCTTTCCTTTCTCTCTCTCTCTCTCTCTCTCTCTCTCTCTCTCTCTCTCTCTGTCTCTCTGTTTCTCTTCACACGCTTCGTGTTTATCTCGCAGAAATTGAAACTATCGCCAGTTACATAAGACTGAATGTCTGAACTAGCTCGGACAATTGATTAACGAATAGCAATCTAGGTGGTCCGTTATCCCCGATCTAATCGAGGAAAGTACCGAACATGTGCCGCTTATTGGGTGAGAAAGAGAGAAAAAGGATATGTGTTACGACGACGGAAACATGTGCAACTTTATATTACGCAAGCAGACGGTGTATCTCGTGGGTTTATCGTTACAATATCTGAGTTAGGTGTTATAGTTTCTTTTTTTACGGATGGTTATTTTAGTGATCGTAAAAGTGACGGGCTACGGCGATACTAATGTGTATTATGCGACGATAGTGGCGACGGCGATAGCGGTATTTGCAAATGCTTTCTGTACGCGGCGAAAATTTGTAGGTTTTCCTTGAAGAACATTTGCGCGTATCTATTCATCAGGCGCGGTGCGCGCGTTACGCGCATGAAGGGAAACGCGCGCGATGTAACGACACCCTCCAGCTCCGGATAATTACTCCTTGTCGCGATCGACTCGCTGCATACGATTGGCTACTGCAAAGTCGCGTAAAAAGCGCGCCGTAATTAATGAATCGCGGCGAACGCGATCGCGTCTGCGCGTAAAAAGCGCCTCGCGAGCTCCGTGCGTTTCATTCGACATGGCAAGATTACGTTGTGATAGAGAGAGGCGATGGGGAATTCCTCCGGTGCAAGATTTGAGAGAAAAGAGTTGGCGGCAAATGAATCAATTAAGAGAAAATGGTATACGTTGGAAATTTATCGTCGTTATCACCTTTTTTGCGCATTCGCGGTAAAAAATCTTATGTACACATGTTAAAATTTTCTTGTGTTTTGTGCTCTCACGGTATACATGATGTATGTCTACAATCAGAGCAGAAGGCTCTGTAACAAGTAAGGTAAGGCAATACTTACGAATCAGAGTTTCCGAGTTTGATTTCACCCCTCGCAAGTTTTTCAAATTTTTAATATTATAAATTTCAAATTTTTAAAAACTAAATTAATTACATGCCACATAATTAAGAAGATTTTAGGTAAAATTATAGAAAGCACCTCTTTTAAAAACAATAAAAAAAAATTTATTGAAATATTTTTGTCGGTGTGAAAATAACATTTTTTTGGTGTTACATTTGACATTTTAAATGTAGTAATTTTAAATAAAATTTGCTTAAAATGTTTGTGTACATTTTTTATTTATTAATTTTTTGACATAATATTTGTGTTTTCTATCGTGTTATGTTAAATAAATATCAAAATTTGTGTGGACTTTCTGGGACATGTGGAATATGTTAAATTTAACATAAAATTTTTTACTCTCTGTGTGTGTGTGTGTGTGTGTGAGAGAGAGAGAGAGAGAGAGAGAGAGAGACTGGATTAAGTTGATTATTGTCAGATTAATTTTCCGCTTGGTCGACATCTTGAATTAAGAAGTTAATGTGTACAATTATTAACTATTTCCCCATAATATGGCAACTCTTTAATGAGACTAATTTACCGTAAAACTATATGGTAAAGATAATTGCTGCTTAATTATTGACCCTTCATTCTCCCGCCGCGAAGGACAATTATTCCGTAAATGGCGATTAGTTTTCAAATACAGTTGAGGGAAATGGCTCATTATTTTGAACCGTGCCGGCTCCGGCGCGTCAAATATTTGTTCTCGTTTGTTTGCGACATGTTAAAAATAGTCAC